CAGATAACCTCGCCTGGATGACTGAGAATCTTCACAGATAAACTGTCCTTGTTGACTGTCTCCTCAAAGTCTTTGAAGAAGCAACCATGTTAGCCTATGCAAACATTATCAGACAAAAAACAATACAAAACAAAAAGTTTTTTTTAAAAAAAACCCACACAAAAAAAACTAAGATAGTTTTGAAGGTGCCACAACATTTGTGTCCTTTCTTGGTTTTTCTTTTTCTTTATTTAGCTGAGATCCTTAAAGTCTGTCTTTGAATTATTAAGCAGCTTAATGTGCAGTCTGGAGGAAGTGCTTTCAAACCTAGACTTTTAAGCCAAAATCCTGTTGAAGTTCATAGGATGTATAAGGGCAGCCAGGCATGTGGTTTTCCTATTTGGCGGGCAGTCTGCTGTGTTGCTGATAGTGCCAGAAGCAGCACGGCTGTTCATGTGACGCACTTTTAAAATGGAACAACTTGAGCAAAAGGTGGAAGGCCAGCTTCCACGTAATTAACCTGAATAAGTGAGAAGAAAAAGCCAAGAGGAAACAGAGGTGAAACATGATATAATGTAATGAAGCTGAAGAAAGATCTGGAACAAAATGGCAGTGTTGCATAAAGTATCTGCAAAAAGGTGACACCGTATCTTAAACAAATAAGTATTGATAGCTAAAGTGGAAAAATAAGCAGAGACGAAATTTAGGAATATGTAGCAGGTCAACCATGAATGCTGTTCTTTCTTCCATTCTCTCTTTTCTCTCTCTTTTACGTCTACGACCATTGGCATGTTAAAAGCAGGCATCCATCCCAGATGGAGTCTATCTAAGGAGGAAGAAATTGTGGGTGGGTGTGCCAGCTTTTGAAAAAATGACTTTGAAAACTATTTTCAAGGTCAGAAGTTAGTGCATGGTATCAGCTACTTTCAGAGACCTGGTTACAGATCTGAAATTAACTAACTTATCTGGACATAGCACATCAAAACGAAGAAGTATGTAACCAGGTTTTGTAGAATGTCAAAGCCATGTCTTCGTGTGCGGCCAGCCTACTGGCAATGACCGGAGGCAAATAGTGAAGTGGACATGTTTGGATGGAAACTGCTCTGCTATCTGAAGAGGCAGGGAGGCGAATTACTTGATTTGTTATTTAACCAACTAATTAATTAACTTATTTTGTTTTTAAATTGTGTTCCCCATTTAGCAAGTCTGGTTGGACACCTAGGGACGTGGTGGCGCTGTGGGCTAGACCGCAGAAGCCTGTGCTGCAGGGTCAGAAGACCAGCAGTCATAAGATCGAATCCACATGACGGAGTGAGCTCCTGTCGCTTTGTCCCAGCTGCTCGCCAACCTAGCAGTTTGAAAGCATGCAAATGTGAGTAGATAAATAGGTACCACTATGGTGGGAAGGTAAAACGGCGTTCCCTCGTCACACTGGCCACGTGGCAACGAGAACTTCGTACAAACGCTGGCTCTGCAGCTTGAAAATGGGATGAGCACCACCCCCTAGAGTCGGACACGACTGGACTAAAAATGTCAAGGGGGGAACCTTGGACACCTAGTTATGTCTCAGCACATACCTTTTGCTTGCTAGTAGAAAGAAGTACAGCATGAAGAAGGATAGCCTTGTCTCTCATGAAATGGAGTTCCACAGCCTGGGGAGCCTCTGTATCTACTGCTCCATCACTACGTTTCAGCCAAGACAAAACCACCCCATATTACAACAGGGACAACCCAGAAAAAAAATGTTTCTGGTAAAATCGCTCTGCTCTGGCTGCTGTCTGAAAGCTCAGACATTGCAGGTGGCTGGAAGGAGGATGGATGTAACATAACAAGCTCTCCTAATCAGAAGCTCCCAATTCTTCTGTCTTCAGTCCTGACTCTGCTACACAACTGCATCTCTCTGTGTGTCTTGGCCCAACTTCGCATTTATTAGTTCAGTGCATTTACCGGCATGGCTTATTCCCTAGCAAATTCCCTTGTTTGTAATCTCATGATGTTGCATGGGGACATATGGGTTATTTAAAAACAAACAAACAGACACCCTTCATTCTTGGGTTTCCAAATACCACCATTGCTGAGACTCCTTGCAAAAACTTCCCTTTACATGAGCTAGATTCCCCAGCTTCTGGGGGATGGGGGAGAAAAGATCTCTAGTGTCTTTTCTTCTTCTTATCATTATCATTATTATGCCTATACTTTTTCAGCAGAAACTGTCAAATTCTGCACAGATCAATGTCCATTCTAGGGAATGAAAAGATATTCCTTTTCTTCTTTTTGGGAAGGAACGATGATTCTCATAAATTGGTTCTTCTTTGGGGAGAAAAAGGCCACAAAACAGCCTGGAAATCTGTGACCTTTCCCCACCATTCAGTGCCCATCAGTACTAGGGGTATGGACTCTAAATGAAAACACCCCACAAACTAATCTAGCCAGTAAATCAGTAATGCTTTGAGGCAAAGCAGACATCACAGACTGGTCATGGGAACCTAACTGGTTTGAAGGCTGAATTGTCAGAAAGAAAAGTAGAGCAAAAGAACAAACATTCTAGAATTTTAGAATGTCAGAAATAAATAATAGTAGAGAGAGATTGAAAGCTGTAATTTTGAGTGACTATGGAAAACATCCAACTTCCCATTATGATTTTTAGGTATGCGGTATGGTAGTCATGCAAAAATCAATTCAGAGCAGGGAATTAAACTCCATAGAATAAAAATAATCTTCAGCTCTTTTTAACAGCTATTCTCTTAATCCTTCACATAGCTGCAATGAAAAATATGGGAATAACAATTGGACTCTTCCAGTCCCAAATCATCACAAACACATTCTTCTATTTTAGACTGAGGAGAGAATCAGGAAAGAATTGTGAGATAAAATTGGTTGGAGAGTATGTTGTCTGGGCAATAAGTGTGACTTCTCTAATCATCTTTAGTAGTATTAGTAATTCTTGATATCATGGCAGTTACAGAGGGATTTAGAAAGAGAGGATGAAAACCAATCCCAGCTAGAGAAAACCTACTGAATCAACAGAACTTTGGTACATCAGTACTTTATGAAAGTTCTGTTGATTCAGTGTATTTTCTTAGTGGCACTAACTGTTGGGTTAGGGAACAGAGCTGTCCTACAAATATTCAGGAGGGTGTTAGCTGTCCTATCTTGGTATAATCTGCACTGGTCTTCTTCACCTATGTCTCAAAGTAGGATGAAAGCTGTGGCTCAACACATCTGGGTAGACCCAGGTTAGGAAACAGGTAGCAAATCTTCAAGCTTTCAGAACCATGTCTTTCTCAGTCTTGCCTGGAGATGGCAGGAGATGAACATGGGGCATTCTGCATACTAAACCTATGTGCTCCTACTGGGTTGTGGTTCTTCCATAAGGTTGGCATATGGGCATACAAAGAAGACCTTTTAGGTGATTATGGGAAGCTTTTAACATGGAGGTAGCCCATTTGTATGAGATGCTGGAAAAGCAGGGACACCTGGCCCATTTTTGATTCATCAACACCTTTTCAGATAATAAAAAGGAATTTTCAGGTGACATATGGTCAACGTGTTCTGGCCTTTAGATGTTAATCTTATTTGTGATGCTCATTAGCTGGACCAGTGATTAGTTCCTCTTTATAGAAATGAAAAAATAATATTTGTTAGGTGCAGGAAGATGGATCAAAGGCTTCTTATCAATCTTAATCAACGTAGTATCAATTCTTGCCAGGACAGAACAAGGGAATCTATTCAATCACCAAATTCTGGGAAAGATAGTTTAATAATAGGGAACTCACATAATTTTGAGATGGTCCAGGCAACTGGCCAATGCAACAGTCTTAATCTGCTCTTTGCTGCGTTGGCAAGACATGTTCTGGTTTATATACAGAACTGATATAGTCAAGTCAAGTGGGGGCAAGCAGATACAATGGATAACTAGTCTGCAGTTTATGTGTAGCTGATGCAGGTGACATACAATCATTTTTGTATGGTTGTATTTAATGAGTCCCAGTCTTTATCCTATATCACTCTCCCTAAAGCTGTTGCTCTCTAGCTAAGTTGTATGGCAACTTCCTCATCCTCTGGCAGCATGGGAGATGTACACTCACATAAGCCCATGTACAGTATGTGTGAACAAAAGGCTTGAAAAAGACAGCATCACACACCAAAAAAATTACACAAGAGAATACTCCTTGCATCTCATAGGAAAACTAAACATTTTGGTGGTGTATTCTCGATACACATAAAACACTTCATCAAGGATATCTTTCTACAATTATGTGAATGTCAAGTTTACTTGTGCCCTGGTGTTTCACCAACAACCACATTGTCCCAGTGAAGGTGCAAGAAAGTAAATAGATTGGACTACAGATTACAACTTTATGTTTCTGATCTTAAACAGTCTTCATTACTCTAAGCCACTTCCTCTACCTCGACGCTGATAGACAAGCTAGGGGCTTGGAGCTGCCATTTCTTCCAGTTTTCTTGAACAGTCAACATCTTTCTGTCCCTAAGCTTTAGATTAGTTGTGCAATGAGAGGTTTACATGAGAGGGCCTTGCCACCAGTGCCATTAGCCCATGTGCTGGAAAGTGTTAGAGGTCAAGGAGATCTTTAGGGCCCAAGTCAGCATTAGCTCACTCCATGTGTCTTCAGACTAGTAAACTATAAAGGAGGTTATTTTGGGAGATCTACCTTGCATTGTTCTGATGTCCCAGCTTTTACTCAGAAAGTCCTTAGGCCAGGGGGTAAAGTGCTGCTTCATCCACTGAACTGACAGTATGGAGTAGTGAACAAAACAAAGACCCGTATTTGGCCAATGTGGGTTAGATGCTGAACACATCCAACCAATTCCAAAGTCAACCTGAAGTGTGGTGAGATGCAAAAGGCACACAGTCACCCAATGTCTTCATGGGACTCCATTCTTGGAACAGGTGGAACCAGTTCACTCCTTTCTATGCACAAACCTAGTTAGAACCAAGGTAAACCAGGTTTAAAATTCAGCAGTTCTTTTGGATTTGAGTCTTCCTGTCAACACGTAAAATGACTGAAAGACATTTTACGTGTTGACAGTCATTTTACGAGTTTATTTATGTTTATTTTTGAGAAATAGTTAAAAATACTTGCAGAGTCCCATTGGTATATTTGACTCCAATGCTATTTAGGTGTCCAGTTGTTGAACCTTCTGTCTTTAGACTGGCTTTATTCCTTGAATATGGTTACAAATTTTCCCCTCTGAATACCATCCTAGCCAGGTAGAACATCCCTTCATTGAATGGGGAAGTGGAAATGTTCTCCATGTCACCTAGATGTTCTGCCACGTATCTTGTTGAACATACTTGGTGCAGCTCATGTGGAACCACTTTAACACTTCAGTTAAAAAGAATAATACTCTTTAGTACCAGTTTGGCCCCTGGCTTTCAGTGCCAACAATCACTAGCCATGTAATGATGCTTGTGATAAGTTGACCTTTCCTCATTGATAAGAAATGACGCATCCTCTGGACAAAGAAGCCACTTCATTTGGTCAACCAGGCTTGAAACATCAGGAGAGATCCACAGTATAAATACAGCAGCCATAGGTCCTCAATCCTCGCAGTGGTGTTTTCACTCGTAGAAGACACCAGAGACAAAGCCAAGATGAAGCTCCTTGTGGCTTCAGTTCTTCTTGTCTTTCTCGCTTGCCCAAAGGAAAGCATTTCGGTAAGTATCAATATTTTCTGTGTGTTTTGTGTGGCATATTTTATTGGATCTTTAGTAGAGGGTTAGGCAAGGGGCAGCCCTCTAGACATTGTTGGACTTCATTTCCCAGAATTGCTCACCATTGGCTAGACTTCCTAGGGCTGGTGGGTGTTGCAGTGCAGCTATATCCAGAAATGATCTGCTCGTCTTTGATTAGTAAGCTGTTTGGTGAGCTCAGGGAATAGGGCTGTGCCTTTTCATAACTCAGCTCTTTTTTGGTTGAGATAATACAAACTCTGTCTGGGACGTTGGAGTTGTTGGATGTTTTAATAGTGAGCATTTCATTTAATTGTGTTTGCTATCCTAACAAAATGAGGACCTTTGCTTGCTATCCTTCATGCCAATGATTCTGAACTTTGGGTAACCAGGTGGGTTTGGATTGCAACTCCCAGAAGCCTTTAATCACTAGTTATGCTGGTCCAGGTTTCTTGCAGTTGCAGTCCAAGAACACCTGGATTACCCAAGGTTGGGTACCACTGCTTTATGCTACGATAACATAGACCACATGACCATTGAAAATTAACTGCTTAAGTCCAAATGGTCTAAAAAGGCAATGCAAAATCTTGGTCATGTTTTCTTGGAGACAGGTATTTGAGGCACTTAAGCCTAGGGAAGTTTTTGACCATAGTGTCAAAATGTGGGTTTTCATAGCTTCATTAGCTTCTTGATCAGCCATTAGAACATCTGAAGCAACAGAGGGAAAGACAAAAGAGTGGGAAAATTATTGGGAATCCTGTTAATCAGCATTGAGAGGGCAGTGGTAAACCAGGAAGTTGAAAGGGCAAAGACAAGCTTGTACATTTGTTGGGTTGAGGGAAATGAAAAATGGATTGAATATTCCTTGAGCATATTACCTTGCCTTAAACCATGAAGAAATCCAGTCACCCATATATGTATTTCTACAGGTCCACCAAAAGGAGAAAGAGGATGATTTAGGGTTCAATATAGGGAGGAGCAAAGCCACAAAGGAATAACTAGTCTCTCCCTTTTTCTTTTTGTTATCAATTTCAGGTTCCTGTTTTGGTGGTGAGTATTAGAGATCTTTGTGTTCGGAGACTACTGTTTGAATTCTGCTTCATACCTTCTTCATGCAACAGCTATATCCTAAGTTCTAAGATGAGGTCTGTACATTTGTTGTGTCAGATGAGTGTGCTAAAGAGGTGGAAGAGTTGTGAACATTTTTGTGTGCTCTGTCACCTCTAAGGATGGCAGTATCCCATTTGCTCTGATGGACCAGCTGGCACCAAACTCCGAACTGCCCCTCCCAGAACATCTATGTATCGTCTCTCATAAAACTAGACAGTTGGCATTCAGCTCTGTACTGAAAAGCTAAACCATCCACTTAATTTTAATATATGCATGAAATCTTTGATGGAATACTAATGGGGGAAACAATTCAAAATAGTTGCAGTGTGGGCAGAAGCATTTGATTGAGTGCTTTATTAGAGGTTTTTTTCCCCTCCCTCCCTGGAAATAGTCTTAGGGACAATACAGTAATTAAACCATGACTCCAATGTGATTAAAAGTGTAACAAAAAGAAACAAATCCAGACAAGAAACGTTTCAATGTGTTTTACTCTGGGATACATTTTGTTTTAAGCTTCTATGTACATTGGCTGGTTGTGTTTTTATTGTTAAAAAAAATTGGCAATAGGAGACAAAGTCTTCTTAATGTGGAGAAAAATGCCCGGAGCATTATTTTGTAAACCAAAGATGGGAGGGATTTATAGTGGCTTTGTGTGGTGCTCTAAAAAGGCATGTGTGGGAATGTGTAGCCCAGAATGGGTTGCCTGACCTTCAAAGTTTTCTCAGCAAGATTTACTGGGGCTGGTTATGGGGATGCTGTGATCCTCCTGTCACAGTAGCTCCTTGGGCTGCTGATCCATTTCTAGATGCAATTCGAAGTATATCCGACAAAGCCCTACATGGCTTGGGCCCACGCTTTCTTAAGGACCGCATCTCCCATTATGAGTCAGCTCGACTGTTAAATCCATCAGGGGATGCCTTTCCCTTGGTCTCACCAACTTCACATATGTGTTTGGTGGGGACACGGGAGAGGGGCCTTCTCTGTTGCTGCTCCCAGATTTTGGAACTCCCTGCCACAAGAGGCCACACTGGCACCACCTTTGCTATCCTTCCACAAGCAGGCAAAGACCTTTCTCTTCAGATAGGCTTTTCCTTACGGACAGGCTAAGAGAGGTTTTTAAGTGGGCTGATTTGTATTTTGTTGCTTCTATGTTTGTCTTAGCAATGCTTTTCCCTAACATTTGAAATATAATGTCATTAATCGTTTATTATTTGAATAATTGCCCGTTTTTAGCTTTTAATAGTGGATTTTTCATTATTTAAGCCACCTTGAGTAGTGGTTGTTGTAGGTTTTTCGGGCTGTCTGGCCATGTTTTTGAGGTTTTTCTTCCTAACGTTTCACCAGTCTCTGTGGCCGGCATCTTCTTGGGTACTTTTTTAGGAGAAAGGTGGGCTAAAAAAATATTTTAAATAAAATAAATAGAAGAAATAAATCCTCCTTTACATGATTGTAAACAATCCTTTCAAATATGGTGCTGGAGTAGTAGATAACCTCAAGTGCCAGAAAGATAAGCAAGCAGATCCTAGATCAAATCAAACGTGAAACATCCTTGGAGGCAAAATGTTGAAACTGAGGCTGCCCTACTTTGGGCACATCATGAGAAGGCAGTATTCTCCGGAAAACATAATAATGATGAGAAAGGTGGAAGACAGCAGGAAAAGAGGAGGATCAAATATGAGATGGACAGGGTCCATAAAGGAACCCACAGGCTTGAGTTTACAAGAGCTGAGCAGGACCGTTGAGGACAGGACATTTTGGAGATGGCTCATTCACAGGGTTGCCATGAGTTGGAGGCAACTTGACAGCACATAAACAGCAGCAGCGACTGTTACTTCAGCATAAGAAGCTGCTGTATGCCGAATCACATAATCAGTCGATCTCACCTTGCCTTATTTTGGTCTTGATATGTATCAGCTCATTGTCATTGCTCCAGCAAAAGTGCAGAAATCTCTCCGATGCTTCTCTTGAGGATGTGACTTCTCCTTAACCTCTTTTAAATCCCTGCCAGTTCCATGTAGCCTCTGGAACAACCCTCTAGCCCAAATTCCCTGCTGAAGCAAAGTCTCAAGGCATATAATATCGCAGACCAAATGTTCTTTCCTTGTTGCTCACCACTGTCGTATTATTCTCTCTGTTGTTTCCTTCACATCAGATATTGACTAGAGGCTGCTCTGGGGTGAAATCCTACCTTTTGTTTGTTCAGTATTTTTAACATTGTTTACGTTGGGGTATTTATTTATTTGATTTTTATACTGCCCATCTGGCTGCCAAGGCCACTCTAGGTTGTTCACAAAACAGAATAAAACAATAACATAAGAGACAAAGATAATCAACAATGACCAAACAAAATATAAGAGCAACTAAAAGAAATCACACTAAGAAGTCACAGAATTAAAGCATAATAAAGTAAAATTCTTTGTAAATTAAAAAATAGTTGCAGTAGTAAAAAAAGGTAGACTTAATGATAGTGTGGACTTTCTTCACCTTTGAATATTCTTTGAAGATTGGATATGAGAACTAATGGTACAATTCTACATTGTAGGTACGCAGTCCTGCTGTACACCCTCCTGCCGTACACCCTCCTGCTGTACACCATCCTGCCGTACACCATCCTGCCGTACACCATCCTGCCGAACACCATCCTGCCGGACACAATCCTGCCGGACACAATCCTGCTGTACACATTCACGGTGAACCACATCACATAAGTGTTCTAGGACAAGTGAGTATTGTTAATAATGTTGCATGGGAAAATCTTTTCACTTCTACTGAGAGTTTTGACTGAAGGAGTCTTTGCTCTTCCATCTTGACAATCTCTACTCATGTTGTTCCCTCTTCAAGTCCCACCACGTGTCCACATCCAAAAATCCTTTCAACAGCCTAAATCTTTCTGTCCCTTTGTACCTTTCCTCAGTTCCCTCTCATCTTCTGTAGCCTGAGGTTCAATTATCCAAGAATGAAACCAGCATGTTCCTGAACTGAACACGTCTTCTTCCCCTGTTTATTCTTCCCTCCGTTTTTCTCTTTTCAAGCTGTTCTTTACTCTGCTTGGGTGTTTTCAGTAGAACTTCTCAGGGAGGAGTGCAGGGACCTATTGTCATGTTTTCCTGATCTCAAGTATTCTGACTGAGACAAAGTAAACACCTTCTGGATGGCAAGAAGAATGACAAGCAGACCAGGGCTTGATCTGGTACATTACGGAAAATGATTGCTCCACCAGGAAGCGCCCCCAAATAAAGAGAATTTGGGTGTCTTCATGAAGTTTCATCTTCTGTCTTTCTCTGAAAATAGAACTTCATTGTACTCTTCTTTGTTGCAGTTATCAGTCGTTCTTCATGACCTAAAAACAGTGGTGAGTATTGCTAATAATTCTTTGTAATCAGTCTTTTAGTTTTTCCTGAGGCATTTCATGTAGTAATCCAGACCAGAGCTGGTTACAGGGAGAACATAAAATTGTTTATTGTACCACTAATACATTAAACAAATATAAGGATGACATGATGTTTTATTTTACTATTTGAATTAATGATATATAAATACACATAAAGGATATGATGACGACAGCAACGACAATGATGATGCCTCTCTCCCAACAAGGGACTCAAAGCGGCTCAGAACAATATGATTAAATAGTATAGACTTAAGCATAGTTCAGCCTCTGCCTACCTCTGAGTAATTTGTAAAATACTGAATATGAAATAATTGTATATTCTTATGTTGTAGATTGGTGAGATCATGACCACGGTGCCAGAAGAGGTGAGTACTGTTGACAATTTTGCAAGAAACATTGTTTTCTTTCTACTGAACATAGAATAAAGACTGAATTTGCTTGAAAGGTTGATTTCCAGTAGCTGCCATGACATATGTTATCTTTGCTTTTGAAATTATCCAATTAGTGTACTAAATGCAAAATGAATGATGTTACCACTGCCATCTTTCTGCTGGATTAAAGCTCATAGACTCTATAGAGTTTTAATTGGGGTGGGGGGAAGCTTTTGTGTTTTAATCTCTTCTTTACGTTCTTCTCTTCCCTTTCTTATTTCTTGTGATCCTTAGAGCGGAAGCTCCTTAGAGCAGGGCCTTTCCTTTGGGTCTGCTATTCTAAAACATTTTGCACATTGGGAGCGGTTTGTGGCCATTTCTTCTGTCCTTGTTACAAAATATTTACAAGGCACAGTGGGATTTGTATCCCACTGTGCCATTTTTTAAAAAAAATCATCCCCTACAACTGTATCTGCTCTGGAAATCTTTGAAATTCTGTAAAAAAATATAAAAGAAGTCCACTTCTCTGTTTGAGCTCCTTTTCTGTGGGAGGCACAGACTTTATCACTGAAAATACTGAGACAAGATAAGTATCTTGTGGATGCAAGAAAAATGTCAATGAAACCAGTGTAGAAACAAGGACATGATCATGAATAAATATTGCATCTGGATTGCCCTCGAAATAAAGAGAGTTTAGATGTCTTAATGAAGACTCACCTGCTGTGTTTTTCTGTGGTTAAGAGGTCACTGTACTTTTCTATGCTGTAGGTTAAAGAAGATGTCGAGAAACTAGATGCACAAGTGAGTATTGTTAATACTTTTATGGTTCTTCTTTCACTTTTTATTGACACATTTAATAGAACAACCAATATGATTGTCTGAAGGGATTTTTGTCAGATTGGCAAAGATCCGTAGTGATATGTTACATAATTCAGGTGTATGTTGTGTGCTACTACTATATACCTTGTCTCTGAGTGTACATTAAAATTGTAAAGGAGTTTCAAATCTGGGTGAACACCTCCTTGTGACACTCTGCTGACATTCATAAATCTTCATAACCACATAATTTTCCAGGATTTCCTTACTGAACTGAGATCTCTCCATGTCAACCTTCCCACTTTTCAATTCTAGTGTTATAAATGCACCATGAGTAAAAGTGCCTTCTGCCCCTCTAACTACTTGTTGTGACCTTTAATTTCATTGCTTCTACACGTTTCCCAGTCTCCTTTCAGTTGTGAAGTTTCCACTAAGACACTGGCATGTCCTAGGTTTGTGCCATTCCAAAGCATTTTGTTTGTTCATGTTAGTTAGTTTAAGTTTACTGTATTGGCTAAAAGCCATCACAATTCATTGAGATACAAATATGATCAAATAAAATCATGATAAAATCACAGTCATGCAAAATGATAAGAGACCTATCCACAGAAGGAAGGATTAAAAAAAAGGGGGGGGGGAGAGAAAGTCGGGAGAACATGTGTCGGTGCCCTTCATATCTTGGAGTCCTCCACATAATTGATTGTGATAGCTCTCAGGAAATTAGTGCTGATGTTTCTGGCCACTTTTGCAAACAGCGATGTTCTGTATGTAACACATGGGTCACAGTCCGAGAGTAACCTGCCCACCTTTATCTGAGGGCTTTCCTCCTGTAGGGAAGCCAAAATGTTTCCCAGGAATTTTTCCCTAGGGTTTTGATGGAGCTGACAGTTGACTAAATAGTGAACAATATCCTCTATCTCACCTGCTCTGCAAATACAGTGGTGCCCCACTTGACGATTACCCCCCTTCACAACGAAATCGCTTCACGATGAGGTTTTTGCAATCGGTATTGCAATCCAAAACAATTATTAAATGGGGAAAATCCATTTTACAATGATCGGTTCCCTGCTTCAGGAACCGATTCTTTGCATTACGATGATAAGAAACAGCTGATCGTCAGGTTGCAAAATGGCCGCCCATTGTTTTCCGGACCTATTTCCGGAAGACAGCGACCAAAAATGGCTTCCCCTATGGAGTATCTTCACTGGACAGTGAGGTATTTCCCCCACTGGAACGCATTGAACCAATTTTCAATGCATTTTAATGGGGTTTTTCTTTCGCTTGACGACAATATCGCTTAACAGCGATTTTAACGGAACGGATTATCGTTGTCCAGTTGGACGTCACTGTAGACAGCCTTAGATGCTTAGGGACATTCATGTACCTGCTGTTGGCCTCTTCTCGCTTCTCGGCTTCTTAAGGCTAAGATCAAGTGTAGTATCTGTTCTTTTCCGTGTTTATCGATATTTCAAAATATATAATATCAACCAACAGCATTCTGGTAACTTAAGAGTGGTTTCCTTAACCACCTTTGACCATAGGAAGTAACATTTTTTTTTACTACAGGTTAATGACCTTGTTGAGGAACTGAAAGCTGAAGTGAGTATTGCTGATCATTTTGATGGCCAATCTTTTAATTTGCACCAAATCTTTTAGAATTTCTTGAAATTTCTTCAAATTTTGACTGACAGCGGAGCAATCCTGTCTTTTGGTTGTTACATTGTTTACAGCATTGTGCACATTGGGAATACTTCATAAATAACAAAAAAAATACTCCAGATTCAGGAACAAATGACACCTTTATTAGAACACTAAAACTGTATAGCAAAACTAAAAAATAAACAGCGAGCTTTCAATGATAATTCATCTTCTTCAGGCTGAGCGCCAAGTTCTCATGGGTAGGTCCAAAATGATATGTAAAGTCCCAAAGTCTCATGGCCACTGTTTGCTGCCAGGTGTAGCTTCTTAAATGCAGATAGCTGTCATCTGCAGTCTGCAGGAGCCCTGTTGGGAGAGGGTGTGGCCTCAGTCTCCTCTTCAGCCAGTGGTTCCGAATTTATCACCCATCTCTCCAAACAAAGGATGGCCAAGCATTCTAATTCCCTCCCGCCTTCTTTTCCCCCTTCCTCCTTCTTGACTGAGGAAAACAAGCAGGGTAACGAGAAGCATGGCAAGCTTTAAATCACAGATGTGATTTAAAATGTTTAGTTAAACCACCAGGAACAGTTAATTCAAGCTAAATTAAAGCCAAATCAATAGCTTTACTTGGTGGATGCTCTCCTCAGCATGCAGTACTGCTTGTCTGGTGTCAAGAATCCAGGATGTTCAACAACTCACATGGGTGTCTTGACCAGCCATTTTACGGTAACGTACACATCTTTGCACTGAAAGCTCACTGTTTTTTAAAAAATGTGTTTTGTTTATTTAGTGGTTCAATAAAGGTTTCACCTGTTTCTGCATTTAGATTGTTTTGGAGAATACCACAGCTTTTTCCTGATTTTTATTTACCAAAAAAAGGGAATATTAATAAGGCAGGCACTCATAATGAGGGTCCAGCCTTTATTTGTCTTTGAATATTCTCTATTAATAAGGCAGGTACTCATTTATTTGTCTTTGAATATTCTCTGAAGTACCATTAGATATGAGAACTAATAGTAAAATTCTACTTTGTAGGTTGCCACTGACAAGAAAACCCTGTTGCTCCAAGTGAGTATTGCTAATAATTTTTCATGTAAAAATCTTGCAACTCATATTGGAAGCTTCCCAGTAGTTACCCTTGCACATGGAAAGCACCCTATAAACAACAGTAATATTAATGAGGAGGATTAAGGTGGCTAAATGAGAGTCTTTGTCTAACTCTGGATGTTTAAAAAAGGGGGGGTTGCTTTTCTAGATCGTAGACTAAAGCTGCCTTTTTGGCTAAATGCTTTGTCTAACTCTGGATGTTTAAAAAAGGGGGGGTTGCTTTTCTAGATCATAGACTAAAGCTGCCTTTTAGAGGCTAAAACTAGGAGACTAAATCTGTGATGTAGTCTCGTCTCCTTAGCGTCTCAAATGCAGCTTTAGGGTTATCACAAGTCTCTCAAAGGCAGATTTAGGGTTATCACAAGAATACACCCACAACAAAAATACACGCTGATCACCATAATCACCCAATCTTCTGAAAAGGACAAAAGCTGATCCCACAGCTATGAATACTCAGCTATCCAACAAACTGCACCAGAGCACAGACAGTTCTGAGTCCTGTCCTCTGAAGATGCTGGCCATGGAGACTGGTGAAATGTTAGGGAGAAAAACCTTAAAAACAATCCAGAAAACCCACAACAACCATAGGATCCCGGCTGTGAAAGCCTTCGGGAATACATTGTTCTTTACTCTGCTTGGGTGTTTTGAGTAGAACCTCCTCAGAGAGAAGTGCAGGGACCTGCTGTCATGTTTTCCTGTTCTCCAGTATTCTAACTGACACAAAGTAAAAGCCTTCTGGATGGCAAGAAAAAGGAGACTGGATGATTATGGGTGATTACGAACAAGAAGATCAGGGCTTGATCAGGTACATTACAGAAAATAAATATTCCACCAGGAAGTGCCCCCAGATAAAGAGTATTCAGATGTCTTTATGAAATTTCATCTGCTGTCTTTCTCTGAAAATAAATCTTCATTGTACTCTTCTTTGTTGTAGGTAAAAGGCCTTGTTCAAGCTGTAACTTCAACAGTGAGTATTGCTAATAATTCTTTATAATCAGTCTTTTAGTTTTACCTGAGGCATTTCATGTAGCAATCCAGACCAGAGCTGGTTATTGGGACAACATAGAATAATTTATTGCACGACTAATAAATTAAATAAATATAAGGATAACATTGATTTGTTTGTTTTTCCATAATATCTTTGTTGTAAAAACTTGACAGGCTAGCAGTCTTTTACCAGGCAGAACTCCAGATCCTCGTTTTAGTCTACTGTATGAAGTCCTAAATGACTGGGTCCAGGATATGTGAGGGGCTGTTTAATCCCATATCAGACTTCCTGGGCTTTACGATATTTTACAGGAGGCCTTTCTAGCACCCTAAGAGAAACACGTGGTGCAGACACAGAAAAAAAATTAGTGGCTTCTTTCTGGCTCCACAACTCCCTCCTATGGGAGTTATTGCTGGACACCTCCCTTCTGTCCTTCCATGTGCAAGAAACAACCTTCCGTTTCAGGCAGTCTTAATATGTAAATTTGGTGGAATTTTAAGGGGAGAATTGTCATCTTTTAAATGGTGGGTTTATCACCTGCTTTCAGAAGGATGCTTCTATTCTGCCTTTTAATATGATTATGTTGAATTGTTTTTAAGAGCATGATTCTTACACTTTGTAATTGTTTTAATATTTGTGTTTTGTTACACATTTTTCTAAAACAACCCGAGTCCCTTGCTGGGAGAAAGGGGGGGGGTATAAAAGGAATGAATGAAGTGAACTGACGAACAATAAATAAATGTACATTTTAAGGGAGTTATTATAATTTTATTAAATAGTATACACTTTATCATAAGTCAGCCTCTGCTAACTTCTGTGTAATATGTAATGAATTAGAAATGACTGTATATATCTACATTGCAGCTCAAGAATACCCTGAATGAAGATGTGAGTACCATTGCTGATTTTGCAGGGGAAGTAGTTACCTTGACACTGAGAGACTGGCAGAATCCACTTGACTGGATGAATCCCAGAAGCCATCACAAGGGATGGGATCTTTGCTCCATCCAGTGTCATAAATGCAAAAGGAATGATGTTGCCACTGTCATCCTTCTACTGGATTAGCCCTAAAGAGCATAGACTCTATAGATTTTGGATGGGGAAAAGCTTGTTCATTTAACTATCTTCTCCGGCTACTTCTACTTCCCATTCATGTGACACTTTTCTTAGATCAGAAGCTCCTTTAAACAGGGCACTGGCTTTGTGTCTGCCATTCACAGTATACACATCGAGAGTGGTTTGTGCTCAGTTGATCTGTCCTTGTTACAAAACTATCACAAGGCATGGTGGGATTCGCATCCAAACCTCCATTTTAAAATCCTCTTTTCTCACAAACACATCCATTCTGGAAACCATTGACATTCCATAAAAAATATAAAAGAAATCCACTTTTTCACTGGAGCATCTCTTCTGTGGAAGACACAGATTTTGTCCCCATACTGAGACAAGATGAAAGTCTTGTGGTTGCAAATAAAATAAAATGCAATTAATCCATTATAGAACCAGCGACACTAGGGTGAATATATGCTGCATCCTGAATCTCCCCAATAAAGAGAATTTAAATGTATTAATGAAGATTCATCAGCTGTCCTTGTCTGAGAATATACTTTTCTATATTTTAGGAACAGGCAGATATTAAGAAATTACTAGAACAAGTAAGTGTCATTAATTTTTACAGTAACCTTTTTAGTTTTTAGCAACATGTTTA